GCAGAGATAAAAGAAAACAACATAAATATATCCTCGAAGTTGAAATACAGTACCACCTGTACTTTGAAAAGTTGTGTTACTGAATTGATAAACACAGCAACTCTTAAAATAAACTGTAATGTAAAACAAACATGTAATACTACTTACAGTACCTCCTGTGCTCAACCCTGTCAGAAAATAACCGCAGGGGGGCTGCTCAATGAGTGATGTGACGTGAGGAGAGGCTGCAAGTTCGAAGGCTAGGAGCAGTCAAAAGTCTGAGAGGGGGAGCGGTCACTCCAGAATAATAAGTCAAGTCAGGCAAAGTCCTGCATTAAACAAGGCTAAAACGAATTGAATGAAATTTCTGGTCCTAATAACTGGGTGATGTTCGACATGAAATCCCCGTATGGCCTAAGGTATCCATAGTGACTGGAATAGATACAAACACATTAAATAGATATGTCTGTAACATCGTAGATAATCTAATCACTGAAGTTGCTGTGGTGGATTCACCTTATATTTGAAAGGATAAAGCTTCTTAGAGCTTCAATCTTATGTCTTTGAAAATGTCAGCATTATTTCAAGGGTTACAGGTTCATAGCTTCTTGTAATTGAAGTCACAGGTAGACATGGTGAAGTAAGTTTTCTGCATGCTTGCTTTCATTGGTTGCAGCATTGAGTATAGGAGTTGGGGAACATCTTGTTGCAGCTGTACAAGACGTTGGTAACACCTCATTTTCCGCTTGGGGACTCTACAGCCCTCCAGACTCCATATTGAGTTCAATAATTTTAGGGCCTAAACTCTCCCATGTCCCAGCCCCCCACCCCACACACCAGGCTTTGTTACCACATAGCCTGCCATTACACACCCCCTGTTATTAGTCATTAACAGCCCCCATTAACAACTGTTCACCCTCCCAGCCTGATCATTAGCAACTCCTTTGTCTGTCCAACTGTCTTTCTCTCTCTTTGGGTTCTATCCTATCGTTTACTCCCTACCCCACCCACCTCCCTATTTTCTGCATATAAACTGACGTTTTCCCAGCCACCATCAGTTCTGAGGAAGGATCACTGGACCTGAAACGTTAACTGTTTGTTTTCTCCTTCACAGATGCTGCCAGACCTGCTGAGCTTTTCCAGCAACTTTTTGTTTTTGTTGCTGGTAAGGCCAAATTTGGAGTATTGCATGCAGCTGTGGTCGCCCTACTGTAGAAAGGATATTATTAAATAGAAAGAGTGCAGAAAAGATTTACTAGGATGCTACCTGGACTAGAAGGTTTAAGTTACTGGAGAGGCTGGGACTACTTTCCCCTGGATTGTAGGAGAATGAGGGGTGACCTTTATAGAGCTCTATAAATCATGAATGGTATAGATAAGGTAGATAGCCAACAGCTTTTCCCCAGGATAAGGGAGTCTGTAATTAGAGGGCATAGGTTTAAGGTGAGGGAGAGAGATACAAAAGGGTCCATAGGGGCAATTTTTTCAGAGGATGGTGAATGTCTGGAACAGCATGCTGGAGGTAGTGGTGGAAACAAATACAATTTTGTCATTTAAGAAACATTTGAGCAGGTATATGGATGGGATAAGTATGGTGGGATATGGACCAAATGTAGGCAAATGGGACTAGATTAATTGTGAAAACTGGGCAGCATTGGGCGAGTTGGACAGATGGGCCAGTTTCCATGCTGTAAACCTCTATGACTTTGACTCCTAAGTATTTTTGCACCCGTTTCAAAAGATGTGTTGAAAATGGGAAATGTTAGGCTTCATGAAGGTTTAATAGTAATGTAAACGTTTGCAGAGCGAGTTATGACATTGAAAACAAAAAATGCTGGAAATCACAGCAGGTCCAGCAGCATCCCTGGAGACCGAGCAAGCCAACATTGAGTCTAGATGACTCTTCATCAGAGCTCTGTTTTCAGCACTGATTCCAGCATCAGCAGGAATTTACTCCTGCATTGAGTTATGACATTACTTTGTCAGTTTAAGGACTTGAGTTTGGATCCACCTAAAAGCTTCCATGTTCTTGGACTTCAGAGATTGGTTTTGTGTAACCATGGCCGCATCATTAGTGATATTGTACTGTACAAATTGTCCAGTATTTAACACAAATCGGCATTATGTTACTATTCCTCAGGAAGAGTGGTTCAGGTGAGTAATATAGTTGCATTGGTATCAATAGTTAGGTGGTAGGGTGGGAAAGGCCTAGTGGTTTTATCACTAGACTATTAATCCAGAGACACAGATAATGTTTTGGGTACACAGGTTGAAATCCCACCATGGTAGATATGGAATTTGAATTCAGTCTTAAAAAAAACGTTAATTATGAATCTGCTGATGACCATGAAACCATTGTCAATTGTCAGGAAAAATCCACCTGGTTCACTAATGTCCTTCAGGAAAGGAAATCTGACATCCTCCCCCTAGTCTAACCTACGTGTGACTCCAGACCCACAGCAATCTGGTCGACTATCAATTGTCCACTGAAATGGCCTAGCAAGCCATTCGGTTGTACCAATCGTGACAAACTCTTAAAGAAATGAAACCGGACAGATCACCAGGCATTGACCTAGGCACTGGAAAAGATAACGGTAGAAACAGCCCTGTCGCCCTGCAAAGTCCTCCTCACTAGCATCTGGTGGCTAGTGCCAAATTGGGAGAGCTGTCACATAGACTCGTCAAGCAACAAACTGACTTGGTACACACTGCTGCTACTAAGATGACTATCTGCAAGATGTACTGCAGAAATTCAGCAAAGATCCTCAGCCAGCACCTTCCAAACCCACAAGCACTTCCATCTAGAAGGACAAGGGCAGCAGATATATGGGAACACCACCGCCTTCAAGTTTCCCTCCAAGCCACTCATCGTCCTGACTTAGAAATATATCACCATTCCTTCAGTGTCGCTGGGTCAAAATCCTGAAACTCCTTCTATAATGGCATTATAGGTCAATCCACAGCAGGTGGACTGCAGTGATTCAAGAAAGCAGCTCAGCGCCACCTTCTCAATAGGCAATAAATGCTGGCCAGCCAGTGACGCCTACATCCCCCAAAATGAATAAATTAAAAACTGACCACAGGATTCTCAAAGAGCATTAAAATGAATAAACATTATTTGTGTTGATACTTGAAGGTTAAATTGATTATTTGAATTCTCTTGGCAATATGAAATTAGAGTGTTGGTATTAACCTTAACTATTGAAGCAAACAGTCTGGCTTGTTTTAAGACAGTAATTTCATTGAAGCAACACAGTACTAAGTATTTGTTTATTCTTCTGTTGAGCCTGTAATCTTTTTTCCTGGACAAGAGCTGACCAATGTGACCAGTTTATAAGGTGTGACTTTCTACATTTGAAAGCTGGATGAAGTTTTTCTTTTCTTTAAGTTTTTTACTATTTATTCTTGGCATTAATCTAGTTGCTGGCTATGCCAGACTTACTTCCTCTCTTATTGCCTTTGAGAGATTGATGTGAGTAGCCATCTTGAACTGCTGCAGTTCGTGTGTGTAGGTAGTTCAAATGTTAGGGAGGGAGATCCAGGATTTTGACTCAGTAACACTGAAGGAATAGTGTTATATTTCCAAGTCAGGATGGAGTAGTTTGAGATGACGTTTAAAGGTGGTTATATTAACATATATCTGTTGCCCTTGTTTTTTTATAGATGTCAGTGATCAGAAGATGTTGTTGAAGGAACCTTGTTGTATTTCTACAATGCATCATGTAGATGAAACACACTATACTGTGCGTCTGTGATTGAGGGAATGAGTGTCAATCTAGAGTTGAGAGTATGGTGACAATCAAGAGGGCTACTTTGTTCTGAATGCTGTCAATTTCTTGAGTTATTGGAGCCGCTGTCATCCAGACAAGTCGGGAATATTATGTCACACTCCTGACTTGTACCTTGTAGCTGGTTGGCAGGCTTTGCAGAGTTAAAAGGTGAGCTGCAGAATTCCTAGCCTTTGACCTGCTCTTGTAGCCACAGTAATTATATGGCTAACCCAGTTTAGTTTGTGGTCAATGATAACCTCCAAGATGTTGTTTGTTGGGGATTCAGTGGATATCAAGGGGCGATGGTTAGATTCTCCCTTGTGGAAAATTGTCATTGGCACTTGTGTGGCACGTATGTTACTTGCCACTTGTCAATATTGATATTGATGAAACAAATGAAGATGGTTGGGTTGAGGACACTATCCTGAGAAACTCTGCAGTGATATCCTGGTGATGATTTTCAGGGCCACTTCCTTTAGTACTGTGGGATGCGGATTATCAGACCCTGGTGATTTCTGGAGCACAAGTTTTCAAATTATTGCTGGAATGCTGTTGAGGCTCAAAGCCTTTGAAGTATCCAGTGCCTCAAGCCATTTCTTGATATCATGTGGACTGAATTGAAATGCCTGAAGACTGGCATCTGTGATACTGGGAATCTTTGCAAGAGGCTGAGATGCATCATCACTTTAGCCAAAAGAGCTGAAGATTGGTGCAAAGGATGAAACAATGTGTTGTGGTTCCCCGTCATTGACAGTGGGGATGTTTGCAGAGCTCCCACCTCCAGTGAGTTGTTTTAATGTCCATTACTGTTTGGACTTAATGTGGCAGGACTGCAGAGCTTAGAAAAAAGCAGTTGGTTGTGGAATCACTTGGCTCTCTCTGACTTGCTGCTTATGCAGTTTGACCTGCATCTATTTTGTAGCCTTGCGAGGTTGAGACCTCATTTTTAGGTGTGCTTGATGCTGCTCCTGTTGTGCCCTCCTGCACTTTTCTTTGATCCAAAAGTTGACCCATGCTTGATGGTAATGGTAGAGTGGGGTTTATACTGGGCCATGAGGTTGCAGACTGTTGGAACACAATTTGAATGCTGCTTATGGTCATATTTGAAGTCTATCCCATTTAGCACAGTGATAGTGCCACACAATACAATGTAAATTATTCTCGGTGTGAAGGTGACATTTTGGTCAAGGTATGCGAAAAATGGTAAGAGGACCTCAGTGAGAGGTTTCATTGTCCACATTTGATCCGGGGATGGTGGTGATGGCCCTGTTTAGGACCATGTTTGCAAGGTATGATTCCATGAGTACAACTATGTCAGGCTGTTACTTAATTAGTCCACAAGACCGCTCACCCAATTTTAGGACTTGCTCCCAGATTCTAGTAAGGAGGAATTTGTGGGGTTGACAGGACTGTGTTTGCCTTGGTCAATGCCAGGTGGTCTATCTGGTTTTATTGCTTTTTTTAATGTTCCCCTTTGTAACAATTAATACAACTGAATGGCTTCCTAGGCAGTTTCGTTATTGAAACTTTTGTTTCTTATGACTGTAAGTTAAAAGGGAACGTTAGCTCAATTACTAGATAGCTGGTTTGCGATGCAAAGTAATGCTTACAGTGTGGATTCAGTACCCACACTGGCTGATGTTAACATGAAGAACTCTCCTTCTCAACCTCTCCCTTAACATGAGGCATGGTGACTCTTAGGTTAAACCACCACCATCTATCCAAGAGGAGTCCTGTGGTTTGGTCAGATTACAGCAACTTTGCCTTTGTTATTTCTTTATAATGGTTAATCAAATCGACAAGCCCTTTGAGAAAACTGATGGGGTAAAATTTATTGTTTTTGTGTTACAAGCGTATAAATGTGTACCAAAGCATCACTTGTAATCGAAGGAAGTGTAATTGGGTAATGGAATTTTTGGAAAGAAATAAATTTGATCGTTTTTCACGATGCCTTAAACCTTGTTCGCTTGCTGTAGCCCCATCTGGTGTTAAATGCTTTTCGTCAAAGTGTAGTCTGTGCTGCCTCAGCTGTTTGTCTTGAATGCACAATGTAGTCCTCAGCAATTTAGAACTAACTTACTTGGTTGATTTTCCTGATTTCAGCAGGCATTGATAAGGTACTGCTTTTGGTTTAAAATCTCAAAATTCATATCGAAACTTGACAAAATAACTAGGGATCCTCAGTTAATTAACTATTACAAAGTGTTAATATTAGGATATAAAGTAGATGTAACTTTTGCTTCACCCTAAATGTTGCTAGTTTTTTTTTGTATGCTTTAGTGAAAAGGTAATTGCGTAGTCTCAGTAATCTTTTGCACCATACGTTGTGTAATAACTGTTCAGATTAGTACAGCTGCATGCAAGCACCATTTAGTCGATAGAAAGAAATCCCATCTGTGCAATTTCTGACATCTGTCTTGATGCTAGAGTTTCAATCCATCCATAAAATTTTTGTCAGTAAACAAAGCAGTTGTTGTGTAACTGCAGTGCATTGCTGAGAGGAAAATGAAAGAGTCTGAAGTCTGGATGAATTGAGATTTATGTAAATGGAGTTTCTTTTGGGTTTTTAAACCTTGGATTTATGAAACCTTGGTTTCAATCTGGTTTAGTATTTCTCTCTCAGCATAGGTGGCTAGCCTCTGAGACTAAAATGGAGCACAGATTTTAATTTAGCTGAACCAATTTGGTTGAATCAAGTTTGTAGTTAGGATTAAGTAATCTTGTGACCACACTGCCTTTTTATCTTGCCTTTATAAAAATGTTGGTAGGTTGATTGACTGGTTGTGTGTTAGGCATAATCAAAAATGGGGATTTTTGACGTTGTGATCATCTTTGAAAATCATGGCAAGTTTGTGTCACAATAATGTATGCTTTTTAGATTATGATTTGTTCTGGGTTGTAGCCTGCAGATATTTGGATAAAAGCAAGATGCCACCCTTTTCAGTACACTTGTATTCCAAGTGTACTACCCCTCCAGGGTATATTTTTATGGAACTTAAAAATTGACCATGTAATTGAAGTAATGGTTGTAAGGTGAAAAAGTAGTTTTGGAGTTCTGTTTTTTTTTCTTTGAAATGTTCACTGTACTTTTGGTGCACAATGTAATACCAGTTAGCTGTGCTTTGAATATTTAGATGAGGATTTAGGTAAGCAGACTAAATTAGAATGTGTTTCATTTGGTAAATTCATTTGTATGGTATTTGTTGGCTATAGTTGGAACTCAATTATGAATATTGTCATAAAAATGTACCCACTAATGTGTTTAATAATGAATGTTATTTCTATCTCTTACACCAGTTCCTGTTCCTATCGTCATCAGTGTAAATTTTTTCATCTTCCTACAATTTGGGTATTTGGAATTAACTGTGTCGTTTGGGTTAATATAATTGCATTGAGGATATGGTAAACTGTGGTATTTTTGCTTAAATGTAGTGAAGTAGTTTTATATCCGTTAGTGTGGTATTGAGATCAAATATTTATGATATCTTGTGAGAGGGAGGTAAAGGTGGAGCGAAAGTCCACATCGAAACAGTATCATACCCATAATTGAATCTCATTCCTCCGCATATGCAGCTCATGGATTCCTTAAGAGTACTGTACGCTATCTGTTTTATTTGCTTTCAAGCATGATTTGAACAGATAATGGTACTGTTCAAAATATGAGCCTGAAATATGCAACACAGGTTTGGAATAATTTTATGAATGATTGACAAAATTCAGTGCTTCCACTTAATTAGCATTGCGATGCGTCAAAAAGAACAGACCAGACCTTTAAATTTAGTCAGTTAGCACGGTTCAGTGATGACTGGATAATAATTGGTAATTGTGAATGAAGAGAGCTAATTTAATTGTTTCTAATTAGAATAATCTTAATTTAGTGAGTTTTTAACTGGAAGGTGCCTTTTTTTAGCTTTCATGACGCAGAACTTCTGCGCAAAAGCAATGGTCATCGGATTGTCATTGTGCTGGTAAATTTTACTGAAAATATTCTTCAGAGCCTGGCATTTCACAGAAATGCACAGTGTAGTGCTCATCAGGGAATTCTGTCAGAGCAGTGTCAAGGGAAAACAAGACATGATCTGTTTTGACAGCACTGGCTGCTATATGGCAAGTTTTAAGATCAAGTTTGAATGCTAGTGAATGAGTAGGTGGGTGAATCATTAGTTGGGTTGGAGTGTTAGGTCATGGTGTTTGGGTAGGTGTCCAGATGTTAAATTATGTTTTATCCAGTCAAACATTTCATAAGTGCTATTCTAGCTAACAGCTGTAGATCGTCTGACATCTGAGTCAGAGGCTTGCATGAAGTGTCACAAGGAGCACAAGAATTGCCCATAGGAATTTGAGACTTTCTAGGAAATTCCCACGTGGTCCATGCATCGGGACTTCCACAGGGCCCCAAAGTACATCTTTAATTGTACGTTGGACTCAATGAATTAGAGGCCAGAAGATTTGGCGCATGTTTTTCAGGTTCAACTATAAAGAATACAGATGTGTGTTGGGCAATAGATCAGTTCTTAATTTATCAAAAGAGACATGCTATTGAATGTTTGTTGATAGCAGAGTGAGAAATAAGGTGTTAGCTTGAGAGGCTTTGGTGAGAAGTGGCTCAGCAAAAGGTACAGGTGAAGTCCTTTTAACTTTCCTATTTCATCTTGGAGCATTTGAGATGGTAGTTAGGGCAGTGGCATGCTCCTCCTGCAGGATGAAAGAGCCCAGCGAGACTTCCATTGTCCCTGAGATAGTGGGAACTGCAGATGCTGGAGAATCCGAGATAACAAGGTGCAGGGCTGGATGAACACAGCAGACCAAGCAGCATCA